AAAAGGAGCAGCCGGGACTGAAACCGGCACCCTTATGCAATGCTGGCACTGCAGATGGCAGTTTTACCTGCTATGCCAGAGTGCTGGCCCCTAAGATCTATTTTCAGTTAACTTTATACACATATGATTAAGCCTACACTAAGTAAAGAGTTCAACAAATAGTATATAAAAAAAAAAAACTGTTTCTCGACAGTCAAGACAATGGCAGTTCAAAGACATCACATCTCAAAGTGTCAATTTCACTTCTATATATCTATATATTACCTTTTTTTTTTTAAAAAAAAGGATTTATTTATTTACTTGAAAGAGTTACATAGAGAGAGGAGAGGCAGATAGAGAGAGGTCTTCCATCCACTGGTTCACTCCCCAAATGGCAGCAACGGTGGGAGCTGTGCTGATCTGAAGCCAGGAGCCAGGAGCTTCCTCTGGGTTTCCCAGGTGGGTGCAGGGGCCCAGGACTTGGGCCATCCTCTACTGCTTTCCCAAGCCATTGCAGAGAGCTGTATTGGACGTGGAGCAGCTGGCACTTGAAACGGTGCTCATATGGGATGCTGGCACTGCAGGCAGTGGCTTTACCCACTATACCACAGTGCCAGTCCCATAGATTACTTTTTGGATATTCTATTAGTTACCACAGATCAGGGAGAACACATGGTATTTGTCTTTTTGGGACTGGCTTATTTCACTAAATATAGTGTTTTCCAATTGTATCCATTTTGTTGCAAACAACAGGATTTCATTTTTTACTGCTGTGTAGTATTTCTTAGTGTGCATATCCCATAATTTCTTTAACCAGTCTTCAGTTGACAGACATTTGAGTTGATTCTGTATCTTAGCTATTGTGAATTGAGTTGGAGACACTGATTCTTTATTGTCTTCTCTCATCCTAAACTTAAAAAGCTGCTCTCTCCCCACCCCCAAGATCCTAATTCTAGTGTTGCAAGTCTGGGAGAGGGAGTAAAACAGTATGTGGCAGACTCAATAGGATTTGGCTCCCCAGATGCATGCAGACATTTAAACTCCAAAGTTTTTTGTTTTTGTTTTTTTTTTTTAAAGATTCATTTATTTATTTGAAAGTCAGAGTTACTCCCAGAGAGAGGGAGAGAGAGGTTCACTCCCCAGTTAGCCACAATGGCCGGAGCTGCGCCGATCAGGAGCCAGGAGCTTCTTCCAGGTTTCCCAGGTGGGTGCAGGGGCCCAAGGACTTGGGCCATCTTCTACTGCTTTCCCAGACCATAGCAGACAGCTGTATCGGAAGGGAGCAGCTGGGACTCGAACCGGCGCCCATATGGGATGCCGGCGCTTCAGGCCAGGGCATTAACCCACTGTGCCACAGCACCGGCCCCCCAAAGTCTTAAATTGTTAGTGGATCAGTGGTTGGTGCATTAAGGGTCCAGGCTTCATCCAATTATGGTGTCTGAAGTGATTGGGAAGTGATTGATTGGATTAGGCTGCTAGGGTAGAACCCCATGACTGAGTTGGGATGACTTTATAAGGAGACCATTATAAAAGGCTTCCTCTGATTCCTGGCTCACCACATGATCTTCTGTTCACATGCCTTCTGCCTCTCTGCCTCTGTTTTTTTTTTTTTTTTAAAGAGACTTATTTGAAATGTAGACTTAGAGAATCTTCCACCTGGTTTTCATTCCCCACATGGCTGCAACAGCCAGGACTGGGGCCAGGCTGAAGCCAGGAGCTTCATTTGGATCTTCTACATGGGTGCAGGGGCCCAAAGACTTGGACACTGGGCTAATGTGGCCACCCAACCTTGAACTGCGAACTTCCAAAACTGTTAAGCCAAAACAAACCTTCTTCTCGCCTGAAGAACTTCTGATATTTTAGCTGAAGTAGTGAAAAACTAATATGCAAGGCTTCACGTGAGAGCAGAGTCCAGAAATACCCATTAGCTTACCATTTTATTAAGTGCGGCATAGACAACCTTCTTTGGACTCCAAAACTCTGGTAGTCAGCAACACTTGAGAATGGGACTTGCTCTTTCTCCAAGTAGGTAAGGAAAGTCTGGATCAACCCTTGATGTTTTAAATGCCAGGGCTCTTTCCATACCATGTTGACCAACCATCTCACCTTGGGAATTTCTTAAATTGCTACACAGAAAGGAGGTGAAAGTGACTTTAGTGTGTGAATCCTAAGCTCAAAGGTCTCCAATTTGCTGAGATTTAACACATTGAAATGGAAATGTTCTAAGTATGAAAACATGTTTTTACACTCAGGTCATAAACTATATACTTGACTGCCTGAGATTTTCAGGGCATCACAAAATCTAGTATGACCCCAGGCAAAAGGCCAGGGCACCTAGTATATTGTGTCCTTCTTAGTCATGACTCTCTATAACCAGGCCAGGCCAGCCACTGTTAGTGGCTCATTTTCTTTTCATTCACTGTTAAATGGGGAACACACCATACACCTTGAAATGACAAGGCACCTGGGCATCAACATTCAACTAACAGGTCCTGAACCCCTAGGAAAATGAGCAAAGGACCTACTGATGAACCCAGATGAAATTCTGGGGGGACAGCCCAGGAGTGCATTGTCAGGGCAGGGAGTTTTGGCCCCTTTTAGGAGAGCAATGAAAGTAACAACTGGATTCACTTTCCGGCACAAAGTCTCTAATGGAACCCATGAAAATGTACTTTTCAAAGTAAGAATTAATGTAGGGTTGGGGGCTAGTCTTGTAGCAGGTTAAGGTGTCCTGCTGGGCTTGTGACACCGGCTTCCAGTGTATCCTACTGGCTCTGCTTCTGATCTAGCTCCCTAATGTGCTTGAGAATAGTAGAGGATGACCCAAGTACTTGGCCCCCACTACACACGAGTGAAGCAGATAGAGTTCTAGGTTCCTGGACAGTGGCTGGCTCAGTCCTGGTCATCACAGCCATTTGGGGAGTGAATAAGAAAATGAAGATCTGCCGGCGCCGCGGCTCACTAGGCTAATCCTCCACCTAGCGGCGCCGGCACACCGGGTTCTAGTCCCGGTCGGGGCGCCGGATTCTGTCCCGGTTGCCCCTCTTCCAGGCCAGCCCTCTGCTGTGGCCAGGGAGTGCAGTGGAGGATGGCCCAGGTGCTTGGGCCCTGCACCCCATGGGAGACCAGGAAAAGCACCTGGCTCCTGGCTCCTGCCATCGGATCAGCGCGGTGCGCCGGCCGCAGCGCGCGGGCCCGCGGCGGCCATTGGAGGGTGAACCAACGGCAAAGGAAGACCTTCTCTCTGTCTCTCTCTCTCACTGTCCACTCTGCCTGTCGAAAAAAAAAGAAAAAAAAAGGAAAGGAAATGAGATCTGGTGTCTCCACTTTCAATAATCATCCTCAAAT